GCCGCGGTGTATGCGCAACGTGAGCCGCTGCTCGTCGAACCGGTTGCCGAACGTCCGGCGGCTGCGCATCGTCCGGAACCCCTGGTTGATGGCCCGCGTCGTGTGCACGGCCGCCTTGTAGATGCGCCAGTAGAAGAACAGCATGACGAACATCGGTATGTAGAACGAGCCCAGCGCCGAGTACACGACGTACCACTTGTTGTTGGGCAGCTCGCATATCCACGGGCACGACGGCGGCAGCGGTTCCTGCTGCGGCCGGCCGGTGCCGTTCCGGTACAGCTCGTTCCGGATCAACACCGTGGACGCTTCGGCCGGTATGTGCGTGTCGCGCCAGCCGACCAGCGGCGGCAGGCATATGACGAAGCTCAGCACCCACACGATCACCACCAGCACCTTGGCCCGGAAACTGGTCATCAGGCTCGGGTACTGCACCGGCCTGGTGACGGCCAGGTACCGGTCCAGCGATATGGCGCACAGGTTAAGGATGCTGGCCGTGCACATCCACACGTCCACGGCCAGCCACACGGAACACAGGTAATCGCCGAACAGCCACACCTGCAACGTCACATCATACACGCATGGTCAGTATAACGCTCTGTGTTATATCGTGATTGACACCACCAAATGCTTTGAAACGATATTACCGGGGCCAGATCGGAAAAATAATTCTCCCCCCCCCCCCCATCCGCTAAAATAACGCTACCGGATGGTTATTAATTATGCGGTTATGTTTTATGGAAGATTGTAAAGAAAATAAGAATCCTCAGAAATAATGACCTTCTCTTGATTTCATGACTTGAAAAACTATTATTTTCAACGTATTAAATTTAAAAAAAAAAAAAAAAAAAAAAAAAATGGTTGACCGACCGTGTTTTTGACACTACACAGTAAATTAATACCAGCTGTAAGTATTATCGTTTCAAAGTATTTATTAATATTTAATACTCGTGCATAGTGTTTATGCATAACATGTATCGCGCGTTTTCGTAACGTATTTGAAGAATATGTGCCGAAACAAAAGCAGGTGTTTGTAATAAACTTTGTTTTTAACCTGCTAAAACCACCTTTCCCCTGTGACTGGCTTACCCCTCTTCTTTAAATTAAATCCATGTTTCGTCTAAACGCATGTGAATAATGTATCTGATATAAAACTAACCTAACCTGTGCTATGCAATAATAATATGCATGACAATGACGTACGCGTTCGCTGAAAATGAAAATATTTTAGGGCAGCAATACATAGTTACGCCTTTACTCTTTGTAATGCCGACTTCTCGTTTTTTCCACCACCTACCATTATTGTTCAAATGATAAAAATATTTTATTAATTTTTTTTTTCATCTCAGACGTTTTTGATAGCAGTTATAATATGCAGTAGACTTTTATTATATATAAATTATACTTCATGAATCTTTTAGTTATTATTTTTTTATTTTTTTTTTTCGTAACGTGACATATTTATGATTTTCTTGTCCAAAGCTCACGTAAAAATAAATTTAATAACCGTGCATAACATTTTATTGAATAAACTACTTTATATAACCTTATTCTATCTCGATAAAGATAAAATCAACAAGAATATGGGGTCATGAAAAATTATAGAATTACTTTTGTTATCGCGTCAATTATTTTTATTGCAATATGTTCAGTATCGAAATCTTGTTTTTCTCAATACATTATAGAAAAACTTAATGAATCTTATATGATATATCAGATCAATAGCTTCATTGTGACAACTTAACCGTGTTGTAATTAAAATGGTCGGACCGTTATCGCACAAATTGACATCCACGAATTTATTTTATTCGTCTAAATCTTAGTGAACGTAAGTCAAACGCACTTGTTACGTAGATAGTTGACAAGTTGTTTTCACTGTCGTACAAAAAATAAAATATCGCGTTCGTTCGCCGATAATAACGTGGCATGCCGTTGCAATGAATTCTACACGCTAATGTTCTAACATTGTCTAATCGCCGCGCCGTTCAACTGATAATATAATAGTATATGATTGATAACAATTAGTAAAATAATATCATTTATATTTTAAAGTAAAAATATATAAAAAAAAAAATGTTAAGGACAGTAGAGATAGAATAACGACACTCTGACACCTAGAATACAAAAACCTATTTTTCAAGACTTCATGAGAGGTTAAAACATTTTTTTATGATTACTAATAGCTATATAATAATATATTGTCAAACAATCTTCTAGTTAACATTTTTAACTTGGTGTGCTAATTCAATTAATTAATGATTATAGAGTATCAATAGAGAAAAAAAAACAAGACCAAGTCAGGTTAGTTCAAGTTATCTAAATTGTAACGGAAATTTAACATTGTAGTTTATAATTATTTCGTTTACGTATTTTAGGACGCGGCCGCATTTGTTGATGAGTAAAACTATATTTAAATTAAATATATATATTTTATATTTCATTTTATCATTTTAGTGTGTAGGTAAATAAAACACAAAAAACAAAACATTAAATACGGTGTGTTCAAAAAGTACCCGGAATTTTCGTTTTTTCCAAAAAATATTTTTTT